CATAAGATCTCGAAGCATGCGAGCCTACCACTTAGGCTCAACACATTCTAAATTAATATTTAGGGGATTATGTAATATTATTATTACTTATGTAAACCAACAAAAAAAAAATGTATTTATCACCTTTAATATTGTATGATAAATTATTTTCATTTTATTTCTAAATACAATATAAAATATGATATAACATATATAGTAGCTCGGCCAGACTGGTCCTCATTAGCTTGGATTGGTTTTGGTTAGCTCGGTAGAGCTTGTTGTGTTTAGCTCAGCTAGGCTGGCCCTTATTAGCTCAAATTGATCTCAGTTAGCTCGGCTAGACTGGCCCCCATTAGTCGGATGGGGTGGTCTCAGTTAGCTCGGTCGAACCGACTATGGTTAGCTTGACCACAGTCATCCGTTGTAGCTCGCATATGGTGATAATATGTAGGACCTCAGTGTAAGTAGGTCGTAGGATCTACTCATTGTAGGAAATATTCAAGAGACTTGTAGACCACAAGATAGAGGACCTGCTGGCAATGAGAATCTGGATAATCCGAATACAAGTAGGTAGTATGACATACCACTTATACACCACGGGGACCTATAAGATGATCGACCTATGAGCAATGGACCAAATGAGTAGTCGATATAGTTAGACCTACTCAAAATTTAGATTTGTTAGACTTATGAGTCACAAGGGTAAAACCCTATGCACAATGGGTTGGTGGACCTACTAGGGACTCACTTGAAGGACCTATGAGGACTTAAATGTACAAATACATATTGATGAACCAGTTTGATGAACCTATGCAATAGGTGCATATAGATCTGTTAATGGTGTACCTGTGGAAGAATATTCCAGACCTTACAAGCAGTAAAATAACTGTCGAGCAAGCCTTCAGACAGTTTGAGCTAGGGGTTAGCACAGTGCAGTTCGGTGAAAAACTGTACCGAACCACAAAAAATCAAAAATCGAACTTCCCAAACAAAAATTAACTGAACCGCACCACAACTTAAAAAAAACCCAACCGAAATCGAACCGCATTTTTCACGCTAAAATAACCGACCGAACTGTACTGAAATGCACGGTTCGATTGGTTTTCAGTTTTAGTTTAGTTTTTCTATACAATTTATTCAATTTGGTGCGGTTCAGTGCAAAACCGCACAGAACTGTCACTGAACCGAACAAAACTGAAAATCGAACTTATGAATAACTATAACCACACCGCAATGTAGGAAAAAACCAAACCAAATCGAACCGCACCGAATTGCACAATTTGACTCGATTTTTCTGTTCCGGCTCGATTTTGCTCACCCCTAATGGGGGCAAACAGGTGCGGTCCCACGCAGATGAAGCGCACCATGACATGAAAAGCCCAGATGAAGCCCAAGTGAGGTTCCATCCAAACCAATTGGTGGAAGGAGGAGTAACCCGTTAGACTTATAAATTAGGCCCATTTTTCCTATATAAACGATGTGGGACAACTCACAAGTGAATATTCTAACACGCCCCATCACTTATGAGTCCTTAATAAGAAAGCCCAAGCCCATATACAGAGCTGAGTGCCCAAGTCCTACTAGAATCAGGCTCGCACGGGCCCAATACAACTGGCTTTGATACTATGAAAGAAACGGGAGCAAACGCGTGCGGTCCCACGCAGATGAAGCGCACCATGACAGGGAAAACCCAAATGAAGCCCAAGTGAGGTTCCATCCCAAAACCAATTGGTGGAAGAAGGAGTAACCCATTAAACTTATAAATTATGCCCATTTTTTCTATATAAACAATATGGAACAACTCATAAGTGAATATTCTAACACCTAGTTTGGGCACTTGAGCAGGACAAAGCTTGCCAACAAGCCAATAATTCACTATAAATAGGTACGTGTATAAAAAGTAACATTTTACACACTCTAAGATTTACAATAGCATTACATATTATACAATACAACTTTTCTTAGTCTTTTATTGAAGAAGGATGTTTTACACCGATAACACCTCCCGGCGTATTTTGACTTTTAAACACAATCTTAATCTTATTTTTTTTTTTCCAAACGACAATTATATTAATAATTTAAAAACTCACAAGAGTACAATCAAAGTGTCAAATAACACACTGGAACCAGAAAACTGGACCACCCCCTTGTCAACACACGCAAGGGGTACAAACTCTATTAAGGCCATCTCCAACCGAAAAACCCAAACTCAAACCCATTTTGCAGTAATTCATCTCCAACCGAAAAACTCATTCTCAAACCCAAAAGAATATTTTTAGAATATTCTCTTTTACACCAACTTTTATAACTTTTCAATACTACCCACATATTTTACAACTTTACAAATTAAACTACACTATTATTTTAAATTCAATTTGAAATTTATGTAATTAAAATTAATTATACATATTAAAATTGTAGAAATTAATATTCATAAAAAATTAAAATTTCACCACACAAATAAAATTAAAAATTACAATTCACTAAGATGAAAAATTAAAAATTACAACACACAAAATAAAATAAAAAATTACAACGCACATGATAAAATTAGAAATTACAACGCACAAAATGAAAAGTTGAATATTACAACACACAAGATAAAATAGAAAATTACAACAATCACGTAAAAATAGATAGTCTTTCAAGTCAAATTGCATTAGTAATGTTGTTGTTTAATGTTAGTGTTTTTTTTCTTATTAAATAAAAATATCATAAATTATATGTATATTTTCATTATTATTGTGAAATATATAGAATCAAATTATAAACATAATATTTATTATTTTAAAAATTGTACTATTTAATTTTTATGAAATCAAGATTTTTTAGTATTTTACATCATTATTGTGAATAAATATAAATTAATATGTATATTTACACCACTATTGTGAACAAGTATAAAATAATATGTTATTCATTATTTTAATGAAATTAAAAAAAAAAGATGTTATTCATTATTTTAATGAAATTAAAAAAATATGTTATTCATTAATGAAATTAAAACAAATTAGTATGTTTTAAATTATTTATCCATTCATATTTTTTTAGCATTCTAAATCAAATTAAAAATAAGTTGAATTTATTAATTTTTAAAATGATAAGATCAATTATAAATAAGAAATAAAAATGAAGGACCAAATTGAAATAAAAAAAATTAGAACGCATCTTATGCGTTTGGACGCAAATTTTCGTCGAACAGAGGAGAGAGAAGAGGGGCAACGCATTTTGCGATCGGATATGCAGTTCGGCTGGAGCGATTTTGCTGCAAAAAATGAGATTTGGTGTTCGGTTGGAGAAGGTCTAAGGAGACAAACAACCACAAAACAAAACACTCTAAAAAAGCAGACAAGCTGCACTGACAGCAGACAAAGCTGCACTAAAAGCAGACAAAGCTGCACTAACAAAACAACTAAAAATACAACAATAATAAAAACACACACCTAATGAACAAATAAACTAGAACCTCCCCTACACCTAACACTCTCGAAGCCTACCCACCTAGGACCGTACACAATCCACATCCACTAACAAATGAATCCAACAAAGCCACAGACCGCAACCTCAAGCCCGAAAACTGCAGCTACTCTGCCGCCTAGACGGATCTGAAGAAGAGACTGCTCTCGGTTTAGTTCTGGACTCCGCAAAACCAATCTCGCTAGGGGGAGAAGAGGAAGCAGTAGAGAGGGCACCAACTCGCCAAAGCCGGAGTGCTCGAAAGAGAGATCGAATCGGACGACAAGCCGCACCAAAGGACCCTAGACGTGAACGACAGAACTCTCGGCATAACCATGGTTGGTACCTCCTCGAGGCTTGGGCTTGAAATCTTGTTGTCGGTGGTCTCGTCCATGGCCGGGGATGGCTAGGAGGCAAAGCAACTCGGACTCCCACTCTCCCACAAAGCCCGGAGGAGACGGAAATGTCCTCGGCCTCGAATCTACGATCTCCTCTTCCAGTGGGGCGGCGACGAGCTTGAAGGTGTAGGAGGGGCGGCGAAATTAGCAGAAAGGACTGATTTTTAGGTTTAGGGGAGAGGAAGAAGAGGGGCGCGTGAGCAGATCTTAATTGCACATGTACTCACGCGAGATATATACTAATTTCATTCAAGGCAAAGTTTTAGTCACTTGACAACTCCAATTTAATTACTAGTCACTTGACAACTCCAATTCACCACCCTATAGTGAAATGAGAAAGAAAAAATGACTAGGAAAATGTAAAACTTTTCCCATGGCACGTAGTGAACCAAAAGCAGACCTTTACCTTAAGAAGAATCCCGACCATAAAATACAAATAAGCAAAAGGCCATGTGAAAATATATCCCTTGAAAGTGATTTATCAACACTCGGCCTGGGCCGGCTGGTCATTATTCCAAACAGAAACATAGTAAAGTGGAAATTTTCTTATAATGAATGACCAGCCTTACTAGTAGCTGGAATAGAAGAAGAATAGCAACAAGCAACTTTATTTCTACCCAACACCATCACTTTTTTTTTTTAAAATAAAAAAATACCATTACCATCACAATGTTGTTGACAGGAGGTCTATACTATGGCACGTCCAATTAAAGCCCACCACCTATTATTATTATTATTTTATTGGTTGTTTCATTAAATGATTGGAATTTAATTTTTTAAAAATAAAGAGGGAGCAACTGAATCCAATCCAACTGTAGCCCATCTTGAATTAGTTAAAAACACATTATATTATATATTTGTTTGTAGCATCATGTGCTTGTTCTTGACTTTGTAAGACCATTTTTGTATCAGTATTGTATTTGCCTCCCTCTGCCCATAACCCAATGCCCGGTAATTGAGGTGCAATTGGGCCACTGGTGTGGCGGGTGGCCTCTATATAAACAAGGCTTCATCTCTCTATCTTCTCATCTCATCTACCTCCCATCCCATTCAAGTAAAAAAACATAATATACCCTTTTTCATCTCTCTGTTTCTAATGAACTAGCTTGAAAAAGCTCCATTTTTGTTTTTTCTTGCAAAACAAAACAAAACAAAACAAAACAAAACATGGCTTCGCGGTGCCTAGTGGCGCACAATGTTGTGTGGTTGTTAGCAGTGATGGTGTGTGGTGCAATGGCTGCTGTGCCTAAGACACCAATGGATGTGCCCTTCGGAAGGAACTATGTACCCACTTGGGCTTTTGACCATATCAAGTACTTCAATGGCGGCTCCGAGATCCAGCTCGTTCTCGACAAGAACACTGGTATGTGTTATTAAACTGCAAAAGAAGATTAATTTGACCCATTTGTTTGATTGATTGATTTTATTCATTTTTGTGTATTTTAATTTATATAGGTACTGGATTTCAGTCGAAGGGGTCATACCTATTTGGGCACTTCAGTATGAATATTAAGATGGTGGGTGGAGATTCTGCTGGGACTGTTACTGCTTTCTATTTATCATCACAAAACAATGAGCACGACGAAATAGACTTTGAGTTCTTGGGGAATAGAAGTGGGCAGCCATACATATTACAGACGAATGTGTTTACTGGAGGAACAGGGAACAAGGAGCAAAGGATTTATCTCTGGTTTGATCCTACCAAAGACTACCACAGATACTCTGTGCTTTGGAATTTGTACCAGATTGTGTAAGTTGTCTCTTTAATCAATTATCATCAAACAAACCAGATTTTATTAAGTGCATTGAAGAGCTGCTGACCATTTCTTTTAAATGAGTTACTAGTAATATTTGTTTTAGATGCAAAAGATTATATAGTATACCAAATGGGTAGTAAACTAATGGGGGTATGTTCTGTTGAGCTGCTACTTGAGAATAGAGAGATGTGCTGATAGGGTTTGCTTTGTTTATTTATTGTTTATTTTTTAATTAATTGTGATGGGGAAGAGTAGCCAGCCAGCCAACAGTCTTTCATGAAAACCGTGAAAAGATGTGCCTGCCCTGCTCTGCTCTGCTCTGCTCTGTGCCTAGATTAGATATGGGTTCGGTTCACAGGTGTATTATTATTTTAAAAATTACCAATAGTATATTAAAGATTGTTGTTTGTCCAATAGAAATAGTTTGGGATTAACAAATACCATATCTTAACCAACTGACAACTTACATAATAATACTATTTAGTTACTTCAATAATTTTTTGCTGTAGATGCACAGTGTTTTTTTTTTATAAAACTTTGACACCATTTTTCTGTGGGAGAATTTTTATTGTCAAGTTCACGTGCAATTTTATTAAAATGTCACCGGCCAGGTTTGGTTTTGTTGATTTTAATAAAAAATAATTGGAGAATAATTGAAATTACATACTAATTAAATTGATGTAATTGATTAATGTTGGTAGATGATCATCATGTGCCCACCTTTTGACTTTGTCAGACTATTATTACAAAACATTTATAGGGTCCATGTGCCCCCTCCACATTGGTTCAGTTCAGGTCTATACAATATATATATATATATATATATATTACCTTTGTTGGCCTTTTGGGAATAAGGGAAAGTAAAAAGAAAATGGACATCAAATCAAAGATTGATTAAACTAGACATTATTATTATCATTAATTAATTAATTAATTAATTAAAAAGAAAAAAATCGAATGGTGACTGACTGACTGGCAATGTGGTGCCTGCAGATTCTTCGTGGACGACGTGCCAATTAGGGTATTCAAGAACAGCAAGGATTTGGGGGTGAAGTTCCCATTCAACCAGCCGATGAAGCTTTACTCGAGCCTCTGGAACGCTGACGACTGGGCAACGAGAGGCGGGCTTGAGAAGACCGACTGGTCAAAGGCTCCGTTCGTGGCGTCTTACAAAGGCTTCCACATTGACGGGTGTGAGGCTTCGGTGGAGGCCAAATTCTGCGCAACGCAGGGGAAACGGTGGTGGGATCAGGAGTTTCAAGATCTTGATAGTTACCAATGGAGGCGACTGCGATGGGTAAGAAGCAAATACACGATTTACAACTACTGCACGGATAAGACGAGGAACCCAACTGTACCGGTGGAGTGCAAGAGGGACAGGGACATATGATTGATTGATTGATGACGATGATGACGTGTTCTGTTTGGTGTGTCTGAATTTTTAATATATTTATAGAGCTACTAGTAACAGCTACTGAACATGTGATGGATCTTGTGGATCCATCGGGATTTCATTTATGATTGTCATTGTCTGTCACGCGGCGTGTTGTGTGTTGTGTTGTCATGTTCTTCTCATCTTTTTCCTTTTTTTTTTTTTTTTGAGACGAGATTTTATGATCTACTTTTGGTACCATACTGGCTCTACTAGTGGCTTCTTAAAATTATTGCTTACTTTTTCCCTTACTCTACTAGTGGCCTCTTAAATTTATTTATGCAATATTTATGAACTAGTTCATAACTTCAAATACACACACATAACATATATATCCACACATCTCTATATGTACTATTGTGCAAGTATGGGATGAATCTTTATTTAGCTAGTAGTTTATAAAAAAAGGAGAAAAAAATAAAAACGTTAATTTTGACATGTGTGATAAGCATAATTTTTGAATTTATAGCTTATTACTATATTTGGTAGACAAATAAGCTAGCTTATAGCTTATTTGGTTAGCTTATAAGTTCCCTGTATTCAAATACGCCTCGTTTGGTAGGACAAACTTTTTTAAAAAGCTCGAGTTAAATTTAATAAACTTCTTTAGATAGCATTCTAAATAAGCTAGTTGAATTTTTTATTTTAACTAGTTTATCAGTTAATTTACCAAACAATTTTATCATATAAGCTAGTTTCTCAACAATGAGTCAAGCTCAAAAATTACTGATAAGCTATAAGCTAGCTTATTAGCTAGTTTTACCAAACATAACAAAAAAAAACTTATCAAATAAGCTCAAGCTTTTAAAAGCTCATCCTACCAAGCAGAGTTTATTTGAATACATTGAACTTATAATCTAATCAAATAAGCTATAAACTAACTTATTTGTCTACACGAGAGACTGTTTATTCAATAAACTTATTTGTCTAATCAAATAAGCTATAAACAAAGCCTACATGGAGAGACTGTTTACCAAAATATTATTTAGTTAGCTTACAAGTTTATTGAATTTAAATGAAAATTGTTTAGTAGCATAAACATTTTTCAAAAAGCTCGAGTGTATCTCTTATTTTTTTAAAAAAAAAAAATCGATTGAAGAATTTATTTCAGTTGATTTACCATCTAATTTTACTATTTTATTTTATCTGACAAATTTGCAGTATAAACTATCAGCCAACTTATCAAAATTCATTGGAATTTTTTATTTCAATTGATTTAGCCAATTTATCAGCTATCGGTTAGCTGTTCAACTAGATTTATCAAATATATTAATCATTAGAGCATTTTCTTTTTATTTTATAAATATATTCGCTCTTACGTGTCTATAAATAGATAAAAAAAAAAAATTCATATACTTCATGGTACGTGTATGTCAAAATTTTCAACACCAGACAGAAATTATACAATAGGCAGGCAGGGTAACTCTAGTTATAAATATTTAAAAAGGAATAAAATTTTTATTTTCGTCAACAACTCTAATAAAATCATAACCGGCTGTGTATATATAATGCCACTTACAAGATAACTCGAGAATTGCTGCCTCTGTGTTATTATGCACTGCACATCATCATCAGCTCCTCCTCAGTGACTCTTTTTTCCGATCCCAATCGCAGTTAGCTGTCAAAAAGGCGTAACATTATACCAAATATAAAAGCCATACTCATGTATGGAGATTACAAGATAGACATATATATATATATATATCTTACAAGGTTGTTGCGAGGATTTCTCCAATAAAATCCTTGGAGGATAAGCGGTAAAATATTGCATGCTACAAGAATATATATAACCAATGCGTGCTTTCCCATCCATTCGAGCACGCTAGTAAAACGCCTATATCCGTACACATCTACCTGTCAAGAAATAATATACACAGCAATTTGCCCATGTTTGTTATTGCCATATTCAAATTTATTTTAGTGTATAATTAAAAGATTAATGTTATGAACAAGATTGAATAAAACAGAGAGATATTACCACTAGATAAATTGTGGCAAGTAGAACCCCTGCAACACCAGTTGTTACACACATGTAGCTGAAAGAATATAAAGCCTTGTTCAAATGCATCCCTGAGAAAAAAAAATAAAAAAAAAATAAATAAATAAATAATAATAATAATAATAATAATAATAATAATAATAATAATAATAATAATAATAATAATAATATGTTATGTTACACTCATTTTAGGAGCGATGGTTGATTTTTTTGTAATTCGAGAAAAAAAAAATAACAAAAATGAAAAATCATACCAAACATGTCGCTAAGCATGCCCAAGACTACGAAACCTGCTGATGGTACTGACCACAGCAAAAGTCTCCTTTTATGATTCTGAGTTCAAAAAGATAAGAATAAAAATCATAACAGGACAATCAATAAAGAGAAGGCACATATAACTTCTTCCCGGCTCGTAGCATAATAGTAATTTTCTTATTACCTTAAAATGAATAATAATATGCCCATATTGTAAGCCTATCAAGCAGGTAACAACCGCCATCACTGTACTACAGAACGACAGAACAAAGGTTAGCTGTCGTTTAAACTAAAAAAACAATGCTGCAGCTTTCAAAGCAGGTATGAAGAAGTTAAATCTCGCTGAAAATGAGAGATTGCTTGCTTAATTAACATATCCGCTTTTTCTGAAATGTAGCTAAACCATCAGGGAAAAAAAGGCAGACAACAAAATAATAGTCACGACACTATCTAATAATAGATTCACAAAAGTAAGCATATAGCTGTTAAAAAGTTAAAAACAATTTTGTTCTGCATCATTACTGTAATAAAACAAAAGAGGCAAAAGCAAAACCTCAAACATCCTTCTGGTTCGAAAGGGGCTTGACACCATGAAGGAGCATCGGGAGGGAGAGGGCCATAATCTGGCGAGTTAATACTGCATTGCTGTCCGAAAATAAACAAATAAATATAACAGTTATAATAGATTCCATATGACAGGTTAGACTGAACCTTTAGCATTCTAGAACCAAGAAGTTACTTTTGTTCGAGAATATATTTGCTTCCGGTACAAGTGTTTAACACCCAAAATCATACGATCTATCATTCCAGCAGAATTGCATGCAGGTCCAGTGTCACCACGTACCCCACATTTCACCTTCATTTCAACATCGTCATATTAATAAATTTGTAAATACATTGTCAAAAACCTTGTTAGAAAACTAAAACGAAATACCATATTGATCTTAGCCTCAGAAGACGTGTCATGTGGAATATGGTACTCCCAGTCTGGAACATAGACAGCATATAACAGAAGGAAATATACTGATGTAAGCAACAACACCATGATCCTGAAATATTAGAAAAGAAAAAAAAAAATCAAACTTGAAACGTGTAACATATTGAAGTGAAGAAGTTGAAAAAATTGTATGTTCTGTGAAGTAAATATAAGAAACAGTAGTCCCCCAAATGGATCATTTACATGTAAAATCAGAGTCCATAGGCCTACCAGAACAAACTATAAAGTGGTTTTGGTTTTGCCTTCTAATCCATTTGATTTCAAGTGATTAAAGCGTATCAAGAATCTTCTTTTTGTCTCTTATGATGCACGAATGCAACTATGAGTTTGAACTTTTACCAGTGCCATTGGTACTTCTTAATCAAAGATGAAGCAGAGCAAACTTTTTCGTCATTTCTAAGCCAGATCTCACACATTGCTGCCACCAAATATGCTGCCCCAATTCTCTTAATTCACAAAATAAAATCATTAAAAAATATTTGTTTAAACTCTATAAAACATATGTTCTCATAAGATTTATAAGGCCAAAAACTTGTAGCTGATGTTACAAACCTGCAATATGCCCATCCATCTAATATGTTCAACATCAACACCATATGTAAGATCATTAAGACCATGGAAAAAGCCACCTGATACATCAGAAATGCTTAAGAATATATAGCAATGGGTGAATAAATAAATGAGGAACGGAATATGCACCATAAAATGATTTAGAACTTCAACAGAGGAGGTTCGTCAACTCACAATTTGGAGTAACTTACATATGTTATTCCAATTTATCAATATTACATAGTACTTTCCTTTTTCTTTAAATTTTTTTGGTCAAAACATCATATAAGTATTTCTCAATGGTACATAAAGTTGCAAAAGGCACCTTGGAGAAATAATCCTATTACAATAAGTTTGGCTGCCCGGCGTATTGCTTTTCTGGATGCAGCAGCTCTGCAGGCTGTATTCTAGTGGGAAAACCAAAAAATAAAAACACAGATTAGATAGAAACATAGGTAAAACAACATAAATGTCCACAATTAAAAGGCAATTACTGAAGTAGACTGATATTAACATTTTTTTGAACACCAATTTTTCAACACAAGTACCTTGTATACAAGTGCAAGTGACACGCCAACCATGAAAAGGAAAAACGGCATAACAAAATCTGCCAAAGTCAAACCATTCCACGGGGAGTGATTGATAGATGGTATGATTCCACCAGCATCATCAACAAATATCATTAACTGCAAGAGAGTTAAAATGGAATTATAAAAATATGTAGGCAAAGATTAACAAAACTTCTCAACCCAAAAAGCATTAGATAGTCCACTTTCCGTAAACCATAATCAATATGCTTAATGCAGAACATCATCAGTTTGAATAACTGATCATCCCCTGTGAAAAATAGTCAGCCTGAGTTCTAATTATATGCCTAATCCTATGCCTGACAGAGTCATTTTAGTTACAGTAGCTATCTGAATAAAAAGATTTTCAAGTTGCTATAGTAAAAGTCTCTTTGACTTTCTTGAAACAACAGAAGCATCAGTTTCCTTCCCAAATCAAGGTTCAAATTCCCTCATCACAGTACCCCACTGTTCTATTATTCTATGCAAAAAAAAAAAAAAA